CGACCTTTGAGCAGTATATGTATAATTAGGAGAAAAATGAAGTCGTACTGATTTCATACCGTATTATTCAGAAATAGGAAGAGAATGCTCTAAGAGCATCGATAATAATTGATCGAATCGTCAAAGGCACGCGATGCTTTTGATGTTTACGACGAAGTATATTTCAGTTACTTGGGAAGCTCGAGTAAACTTTTTGGCCAAGTTGTATGGAAAAAAAAAAAATATCTATTTTCTCGTTTCTTTGATATACCTTTAATTATCGACCCACGTTTACGGGTAATCGTAGAAACGAAAAGTTTTCGAGACGTCTCCCGATAGTTCGCATCGACGATCTATAATCTCCAACGGTAGAAATATCGTATGTAAATAATGGTGATCAAGAATTGTGGAGGAAGAGGCAAACCGACATTTACGTCACGGGTGAGGTCGGAATTACCCGACAACATTTAAAGGAAATTCACTATCTGGCGGTTTAATCACGTGAGCAAGATCGCACAAAAGCCGCAGACGGATGTAGGAGTATTTGTACATATACTGTGGAGTCGGTAACGTGGAAACAAGAAGTCGCCAGCAATGCTAGTGAAATTACATCGAAATTTTGGGAAAAGAGTATCGTTTCACGTTCGCGTTGGTTCTTTTCGATTGGCAACCATAGGAAAACAACTGTGTTCGATGGCTCAGTGTGATAACGCAGAGGTAACATATGTATTTCATTTAACGTGTACGCAGAAAGGAATGTGGATATTTTTTTTTGAACAGGAACGAAAGATTAACGTCGATGGATGGAATATCAATTACCTGAGAGTTGGAACTGGCGAACATCCGGTTTTGCTTCTACCGGGTGCCGTAGGTAAGTAACTTTATAAAAAATTATCACGTTCGGTACATTACGATAATCTGTGGCAACAATTTGGCGAAGGTGCTGCTATCTAGAGGAACTGTTGGTTGAAAATGTAACCGAGTCCCTCCGTCCGTATACGATCAGAATTGGAAGAACGAACACGCGATTATACATGTATATTTTCAAATATCGATAATTTATGATTTCTCGTTACATCTATTCGATTCTAACGTTGTAAACACCAACGAAGTAACGTTCAATTTTCACGTGATGCTGCAGGCTCGATTTGGACAAACTTCAAACCTCAAGTAGAGGGCCTGGACAAAGGAAAGTTTACTATAGTGGCATGGGACCCGCCAGGCTACGGAAAATCCAGGCCACCCGATCGAACATTTCCCGATGATTTTTTCCACCGTGACGCCACTTGTGCGCGCAATTTAATGAAATGTTTAGGTTTCACGAAATTCTCATTGGTAGGATGGAGCGACGGCGGTATTACATCTTTGATACTCGCTGCAAAGTATCCCGATAACGTTCGAAAAATGGTATCCGTTGCCGCGAATGCCTACGTAACACCGGAAGAAGCAGCCACCTACAAACGTACGTTCTTTCTTCTCCAATCTCTGTACGCATTCGCGCTTCTTTCCTTTTCAACGATTCCCATGCTCTTAGAATACCAAAACATCGACACATGGTCGCAACCAATGCGAGAGCCTATGGTAGCGCTTTACGGGGAGGAATACTTCCGTACGATGTGGTTCAATTGGGTGGACACTCTTGTAAGAATAGCCGAGAAAAATAATGGCGATTTATGCAAAACGCTTCTACCGCAAATTCAATGTCCTACTTTGATCGTACAAGGATCGAAGGACGTGATGGTGGCGGCCGAACATCCGATTTACTTGAAAGACCATATTCCTGGAGCAAAGTTCGTATACTACATATACGTATCCACGACACAATTCACGCGACTAGGCCGATGGAAAATCTCGAAATAACCGGCGATAATCTTCAACTGTTTCAGATTGGAAATGATGGAGAAAGGGGCGCATAATTTGCATTTACGATATCCCGAAGAATTCAACGCTCTCGTCACTAAATTCTTAACCGAATAATCGCTCTCATCTTTCGTACGCTTATCAATCGAACAGTGTTATTATTATCATGTCCGACTTTTTATTTTCATACTTTTTGTATAAGGTGTTGAAGCAACAAGTGTTTTTCTGCTGTAACAACTTGTATCTCTCTGAGCGTTAATCCCTATTATGTACCAGTTACAGTTGCTAGAAAAAGCATCCTTATTAAGCGGTGGAACAGCACAGAGGACAGACGTGGGATAACCGGCGCGGCGCAGAAATCAAGCGAGAGAAAGGAGCCGTGAAACGATCGTGGGCGACGAAGGTTTCCCGTAGGCTTACCTACACGCTTCTCTCGACACTTCCAAAATCGTGTCTGCTTTTTCAGTTTCGAAAATGCAATCGCGTTGTCGTACGATATAAAGACGAAAACGTGTACGCAAGAAAGTGTAAGAGGTAAAAAAACAAGTGGCAACCACCAACTATATTGTACACGTCAAGGACCGCCCATCCGAAATATCCGCAATGCGCTTCGGACGAGAATCGATCCTGTTCCTCGTTTCGGTCACGCCCCCGAAAGATCCATTTACCAGGAAGCAACCACGCGTGTCTTTACGTATTTTATTCTTCCTTTTTCTCTTACCATCTCCGTCTTCGTTCGACAACGATAAATACGACACGAGCGTAAAAAAAAAAATGAAGCACTTTTCGATATTATCCGCGCGCGCGCACGCAGATAGAAAGTGGCACTTGTGCCACTTATTGTACCAGTGGCTTTACAGCCGAGATGAAAAACAGCGTGCGATCAAGCAGAAGCGTTCACCCAGGTATTCGTCGCGGAACACTTCTGCACTTTGTTCGTTGCATGAATCGTGAGCTGATTGAAATTGCATAACGTGCTGGGCAGAGTAATTTCTGACAATAAATGACCTCGAGCAATCCTACAGTTCTCGGTTGGACAATCACCGGGCAAAATAAATGCCTTATACGTTTAAGTTTCAATCACTGGCAACGAGCAAACGCGGATAGAAGAGGTGACATATAAAATGCAACAGATATATCCAAATATGGACAGACTGCGTTGCGATTCGATCTCGTGAACCTGTCCTTATTCTTTTCCTCCTTTTTCCTAGAGTTTTTCCTTTCCTCGGCGAACGCCTTGCCAAACGTCCAACACCGTTTATCAAACGTAGATACGTACAACCCTTGACAAACGAATTTTACCACAGTTTTCGCACAGGATTTCGCACAGACGTGGGAACATTTGAAAAAGGGCGAAGAAGATCCTCTCGAAATTTCTAGCCTGTAACAACAAACACGTTCTGCTTTGGTCAAGCAAAAGCCGAACATGTAAATGTCTCTCCCGTTTTGGAAATGCAGCATCACGTCGCGATGACATCACCGCGACATCACCGTGCGTTACTCAATAACCCGACTGTCGCAAAATCAAATATTCCCGGGCAACGTAATATCGAAACATTTCCTGCCTCGTAGCTACGATACTAAAACGATATGGCAGGGGAGAAATGAAAAACGCACCGTTCAAACAGAGCACGCAACAGTAATTTAAAGGCGAAATGAAATATAGGAGCGACGAAGGGTCGTGAGTATGACTCACAATCAGATTTCAAAGCTACCGTTATCGACTTGGTTCTCCCGATCCACCGTGATACAGTGCTCGCACGGCGTCCTCCAAAGTAGAAAACGACACCATTTACGGCAACTTGCTGCTCCGTTGTTACTCAGCTTTTCAGACCCGTATTGCTCGAGAAAGTGGTCGTGCGTGAAAATCTCGTCCTCGATACGACTCTCGGGCACCCCCACTGGTGCGCCACCATGTAAAGCCGCCTAAATCTTCGGATGCTCCTCGAAAGGAAAAAAATCCGTAAAGCGAAGGAAGCGTAAGGAGCATATATCACTTTCGAGTTGTCTCGTGTAATTGAGACACGTCGATACGGATACACGCCTGCGGAAATATTTAGACGTACTTGTCGCGCACCACGTCCCTGGGATCGATAAAAGTTAAGGCGGGGCAAGGTTCGGCCCCCTCGTCGTTCCATCTCGATTCTTCCGAATCGTCGCGTCGTACGTCTACCGTATACATACCGTACCAGAGTTACGAGACGCAACAACCCCCTTCCGAAAAATTCCAAATACTCTTAGCCATTCGCGCACTCAAACTTGTTCGTTGACTTTGGAAAAATGGGAGTGCGTTCCCGAAGGTCGATAGCATCGTGACTCATTCCCATCCCTCCTGACATGCGCGTCTACCTCAACAATCAAAGAACATTGTTCGTCGCTTGATTCACGCGATAACGCGATCCGCCGATAAGAGATTGGTAATCGAACATTGCACAGATTCGTTTCATTTTCTGTCTTCTTTAAACGCTTTAAACGATCTTACACCGTCCGACAATTATATTTTCCAGAAAACGTTCGAATGCAACGAGTAGCATTGCCATAGTTTTTTGATTCGAGCATCAATTATCAGGATGATAGTGAAGCTTCTTTTTTCTCGTCGGCATTGGAACGTGCGCAAGAACTTCTCGTTCTTGGTCCGTCTAAATTGGACGTGATGTCAGCGAGCGTTTCTACTCGCGACCAACCAATGACAACGAGACCGTCCTCTCGAATCGATCCGGTTGGTAATTTTTCAAACGATGTATCGTATAGGAGATTATATAAGACCGAGGATCGGTGAATCGGTTCGTTCTACTATCTTCTCCGTCGAACGATATTGAACGGGAGACAGGGAAAGAACCTATTTTTCAAAACATGTGGAACGCGTTAAAAGAAGGCGAAAAAAAAAGGGAGCTGTGCTTTAGCGCTGCGCTATACGAGTAATTTTTTTTTGTTAGAATTTACCTCGATGATAAATATGATCCCCCGTTATTGCCAGGCCCGTTACATGCACGTATTACCTACTGCAACGCGTGTCTATCAATACGGGACAGTATTTGCGCGTCTACTCTCCATCAACTACAGGCCAACGAGCACGTACGATACACATACGTAGAAGCGCGGGCGTGTACACTATCGTGGCTGATTTTTTTCCTTCGAAACGAAGAGCCAGTGATCCATACATGGTAACGGTGAGAAGACTGGCTTACGCGTTGCAACGCGTAACCCACCCTACCTGCTCTCCTGTCTCCGTTCGTTCCCTTCCGTTTCGTTCCATTCCGTTCCGTTCCATTCCGTTCCATTCCGCTCGATTCTGTTCTCTTCTGTTCTTCTCTCGTCTGCTTGTAAAAACGTAACAGGCACGCCTTGCCTCTGCCTACATGCCTTTCTCCATCTACTCCCCCCCCCCCCCCCCCCTCTCTCTCTCTCTCTCTCTCTATGCCTCATTTACCGAAGAATCGAAACTTGATTAATAAACTTCTTCGCGGTACAGCTACTTGACCAACGAGAGCAATCGTCGATATCTGTAATAATGTGATACGTGGAATACAGGTCGATAAGCTGGAGAAACTAGAAAGGGCGTTAACAAGAGCTCGTTAACGATATTTGTTAGACGGTCTGCCTTAGAAATGTTTCGTGCAAAATTTTTTCACCTAGCATAGCTAATTTATCGCGGCTATTGCCTCCAAGGCAACACGTTTTTGATTAGACCCGCAATATTTCGATGGGTGTGTACACCTACTACGCCGGTGAGTCACGTATCGACTTTTCTCCCGGGCAACTTCGTACAAGCGGGGTGGGTTTAAGCCAGACCTACCCAGCTAAGGGTGGAGAAGATTGCGGTGAAATAATCATTTACTAAATTACACTGTATGCTATACATACTGTGGAATATAAAAAACTTCCCGAGGCAATCGATCAATTCACGACGCATGTTACACGACCGTCGAACACATTCATACTTTTTTCAGGTGATGACGAGTAAATCACGTATTTTCCGAACATTTCGAATGGCTGCGACAATTTTTCTTACCTCGTTCAAACATGGTGAACCTTGTAAAATCTAGAAAAAGCTGGTGCTCGTGAATCGACGAATACTCCAACAACGTAACGATACGTACTGCTGCTGGTCCAAGCAACTGTATCACGCCTACTAATCCATCGATAGTCCTCCTCTTTTTGTTAAAAAAATTAAATAAAAGAAAAAGGTTATATAAGATAGACAACGTTTATTTATTTCTTCGTAAATTGTTAATGCGCCTATCGTCGATACCTGCAGGCGATGTAATTATGCGGAGCGTGGCTGATTCGAGATCATGGAAGCTAACGTTCGCTACGCTTGCAAATCATCCATCGTTAGAGCAGCAAAATTGTTAACAATTCCTTGGCATCTAAATTATTCTTCCTTGTTTCTTTATTTTTTAAGACGAGACGAATCTCGAGTGGAACGGAGAAAGAGGTCGGGGATTCGTGGGCTGACGGCGTTGCTCTGTAATTTTGGCGAATCGAAATTTTCAACGATGTCACATCCGCAGAAGCTGGGGCGCCATCGGCGCAGAATCATCCAAGCAGTTGGCAACGCTGCCGACGCTGGCTGGTGAAAAGGTGGCGGGGCCCGGGCGCCGACCAATAGGAAGACCTGCTCGAACCGCCCCCCGTCGCCCCACCGCGGTCGCGTAGAAGCTTGAAAATCTGTAACGGACGCCGCTACCAGGGCATATTCGTTTCTGGGCTCTCGTGAAGAGTTAGCGTGTACCTTGTCGTTCGTTCGATTATCGCAGTAAGCTTCGAAAAGATCCAACAAACTACCGAGCAACATGAGGGAAATCGTCCACATTCAAGCCGGCCAGTGCGGTAACCAGATTGGCGCAAAGGTAAGTGTCGAAATTCGGGTTCGAAATAATTGAACGCGTGACCGCGTGGAACACGATTGCTTCTTTGTTCGACGACGTCGTAGTTGGTAGAGTCGTAATAGTGTAAACCTCGCGGAACCGCGTTCTTCGTAAATCTTACTACGATCTTAGTTGCTACGTAGAAAGA